CACCAGCAAAAGCAAGCAATTTATTTTGTGGTCCTGGCCCAAAAATAAAATAAAACAATAAGCAAAACAAAAAAACAAACCAGAAACAATTTCGCTTATTCTTTTGTCTTTGTGACGGTCAAGCCTCAGAGCCTCAATAAATTCAGAATATAGGTGATTACATCAGACAGACTTTATCAACAGGGAGTATCACAAACCGATTAGCCCAACTGTTAATAGAAGTCTGCTTTCTTGCCGCGGGTGTGGTGGCTCACACCTATAATCCAGTGCTTTGGGAGTACGCAGGCAGGAGGATCGCTGAGCCCAGGAATTTGGAGACCAGCCTCGGGCAAGCATAGTAAGACCCAATCCTCTTTAAAAAAAAAAAAAAATTAGGTGGGCCATAGTGGCGCACACCTGTAGTACCAGTTACTCAGGAGGCTGATGTAGGAGGATCACTGCGGCGCCTTGGAGTTCAAGGGTGCAGTGAGCTATGATTGTGTCACTGCACTCACAGCCGGGATGACAGATTGAGACCTATCTTCTTAAAAAAAAAAAAAAAAAAAAAAAAAGAAGAAACGAAAAGAAAAAAAAAATTTTGCTTTCCCTCACCCTCTGTTGTGAATCAGCTCAAAGTCCTGAGAGCCAGGGCCCGCTTCACCTAGCCACATCCTCTAGCTGTTGGCTATTTTGTTTCATGTTCTTTTAGGTAATTCTCCAGAATTACCATCTCCTTCCCTCTCTTCACCTCAGTTACTCCCGCCACCTCAGTTCGTTCTTTTCCTCCTCCAGCTGTGTAGAAAACTCTTTTGCTCACACCGCCAGTGTGATCCGACTTTCGCTCAGCCTCATGGATATATTTCCCAGCCCTTATCTTCCCTGCTTCTCTGTTTTGCATCCTTGTGACACTGGAATGTTTCCCTTTTTTCCCTTGAAACCGTCCACTCCAGGACAGCCACACCTCCTGATTCTCATCTCCTCTCACTCCTCATCTCTCCCTCTCTCTCTGTTTCTTCTTGCCTCCTTCGGTTACCATTTCTTAAATTGCCCACCTTTCCAATATTGGCATTCTTCTCTGTTCCATACAAGTCCGTAGGGGATTCTCTCATTGTCACAAGGAAAAAGAAAAACCAGCTACAGACGGCATGACTCTCAAAAGGGATATTGTTTGACCCAATTTCAACCCTGAGTTTCAGCTCCGATATTGCATGTAGGTGTTTATGGACATGTCAAAGCTGTGAATATCTGGAGCTAGATTTGTTATCTCTCCCCTAACCCCCAACCCACCTACCCAAGAGCTTTTCTTTGTTTTTTTGGAGATGGAGTCTCACAGTGTCGCCCAGGGCTGGATGGCAGTGCGCAATCTCGGCTCACTGCAAGCTCTTCTACCTGAGTTCACTCCATTCCTCTGCCTCAGCCCTTCTGAGTAGCTGCGTACTAACAGGCGCCCGCCACCACCGCCTGATAATTTTTTGTATTTTTAATAGGAGACGGGGGGCTTTCAGCCGTGTTAGCCAGCGATGGTCTCGATCTCCCTGACCCTCTGTGATCGCGGCCCACCTCGGCCTCCAAAGTGCTGGGATTTACGAGGCCGTCGAGCCACCGTGCCTGGCCAGTTTCCTTTTGATAGTCCTTTTTTTTTTTTTGAGATGGAATAGCTTGCTCTGTTGGGCGCA